CACAACTATAACGCCGACACGAGTGGAAAACTTTTTGCGACTCGAGTTTCCGGGGAAAAGGTTTTCATCGAGGCGCTTTTAGCAAACTGGCCTGGAAAAATGTAACAAAATATTATACCTACCTCTTCACAAAAAGTATACCGTCAATATCGACTGTGAATGGACAGGACGGGTTTTGGGAAACTTTTTGAGCGCTTCTATTGACTATTTTAAAGCCAAAGTAACCCGTTTATACGAGAAAAATATGATACTGCAAAATAACAAGACACTATTTCTAAATCAATGCATATTTCGCATCACTTTCGGTCTAAAATTACGAGCCGTGAATTTCGTACAACGTAAATGAATCGCTCCAATATTATTTCGATTAGCAGATACGTCCTGATTATAGTGACACCGACGCAAATCGCCGGTCATAATCCCCAAAATGTTTTTATCAATGTATTAATTGCGTCCCGAGAAACAAAAAATGTTTACATATTACAATGAACAACAGATACAGTGAATCGTCGACACACCAATATCATACGGATTTATAGTAGGTGCTTAAGGATATTCTTATGTTTTTCCACAAAGCCTACTGCAACAATTATATAAATTACCAAAAAAAGATTATCATTCAAGCGGTGTATATAGATGAAACATCACACGTATACTATTATCTATGATTTATTATATTATATATCTTATTATAAGTCGTATCTTTTTGAAAATATTGTTTATGCTGAGTGACGTAAACTTTGCTTAATAATCTCCCTCGAGACCGTCATAATTGCATAATGAAACATTTTATCACATTGCATTACTAAATGGTTTTCTCCTTTATCAATCAATGTCAAATCAAACAAATCAAATTTAAATTAAACTACACGATAATAAGTATAAAGTAAAAAATATAAAATAGAGAAAATGCGTGTAATTTATCTTTCAAGAGTTAAGCTCAATACTTTTAGTCTAAAAACAGTAGTCCATTTTGATCAGATTCAGTCTGTAATAGTGTAAAATATGCATCACGGTTGTGTGGTGGCTCAACTTAAAAAATATACATCGGAACCACTAAATATTATTATGCATAATATTACAAAGCTTATTAGAGTAATAATGATTAAAAACATCGATAATAACATGGCGAGTATAATGCGGAGGATTTAATTTAAAAAAAATAAACAAACATATTAACAATAGATTAATTATAAAATTAACGATCAGCTATAATGAAATGATACAAGTGAAAAAAAATTCAATTTCATAACACATACAAAACAAGGGGTGAGAATGACGGAAATTGTAGGTTAATTAAAACAAAAACGAATTCAACGAGAAATTATTATGCAAAATATAAAAGGACACAATTATATTTTAATCAATTACCCAGTAGAATTAAATTCATTGATAGTAATATTAAATTTAAATTAACGTTAAACAATATTTATATGCGATTGTTTGATTCGTATAATTATTATTTAGTGTTGTTAACAGTCAAGTATTTAAATCTAACTATGTAAACATGTAATATATTATCTTTAATAAGTAAAATAAGTAATATGACAATATTGTGTATATAATTATTTATGTAAAATTGCATTACTCAATTAGTATAGTTTCACTACCTACCTACTCTCACTACAACCATATTTACTGGGAGTAAATATATCAACTTGAAAATGTAAATGAAATGTTTGATGCAGGTACCTACATAAAATAATGTTAAATAAATTAATAAATAAATCAAATATAAATAATTTAACAAAAGTACATTTTCCACAACGTTTATTTTTTTTAAATATTTCAATGTATGGATTAAATACAAACTACATGGAATAGGTACTTTGTAATATGTACACACAAACTGAGTAAACATTTCTAACTATTATATATTATAGTACCGCAAAAATGTTTGTGTAGTTTTAAAATATCCAGAATCGAATGTGCTTAAATAATATGGGTAATATTATATTTATATGCTAAATATTATGATAAAACATAATAATCTTTTAGTAATAAATTAAGTGTTTCAAATAATTTCTGTTGTTTATATTAATATTATTACTTCTAGTGATATTTAATATAAAATACTTTCTCTTCACGATTAAACCAAAAAAATAATAATATTATAATAATTTTAATTTATTATATTTAATGACGAATTATGATTTTGTCTATTTTGGTTTTTATATTTTGATTTTACTAGGTAAGAGAAAAATAATTTATTTCTATAAATTACGACGCACATATTTTTTACAATTACTTTTTAATAGTTACTATTAAATTAAATGATGCATATGTGTTGAAAACAATGTCTAGTTGGTTTAGGCTCAAACATCGTAGGTACATACCGTTGGGAGTATAAAAATGATTTGTTTTATTTAGGTCAAGTCAGGTTGTTAGTTTTAATAATTTGGATTATCGATTTGAGAGAGAGCACCATACATTGAATTCAGAGTTTTCCATACTCGAGGCTATATAGACAATAAACGTAACAGTCAAATCCAAAGAGCTTGGAATTAAATAAGTAAATAACATGCCACAGAGAAAAAGTCGGTGACAACTAGAATTTATCTCTTAGCTATATAGCACTTTTAAAACAATACGAAGTCGCCAAACCCTCCAAAATTCGCTACTATTATACTGGGTTCGAGGATGAATTTCGTAGCTATTCACTTCAACACCCCACAGCATATACGTATTGATGAGTTAAACTAATATTATGTTTACAATAAAATGTTCATACAAATAAAATACGTTAATATATATCTATAAACATACATATAGATGGTTTATGTTTTCCTTACTGTTTTTCTTTAAAATCAAGTTTTGTGATCGACTTAAATGTATTGATAGATAAAACAGATCTATAAAAAGTTAAATAATAGTTAATAATACTAAAAATATAATAATAATAATAATAATACTGACAACAATAACCTAAATATTTAAAATGTCCCATCCAATGTAATTAAAATAATTTCATTTTTCTAAACTAATAAATATTATTTTCATATTCATGACTTTTCCTTATTAATATTTTTTGTATTTCTATTAAATTGAAAAATAAGAATATTAAATACCTATAACTATGGTGTTTAAATAATACTTGATTTCTTGATAATCAATAATTGTCGACTCTTATAAAAATATAAATGGATTACATACTAACAAAGAATTTTGTTTTGATGTGAAAAACCATCCAAAGATTTTATATTACTATAAGATATAATATTTCATACTTACATTACGCAAATAGTTTTAATTTTTTATGTTTTTGGTGAATGATACATTAAGTGAAATAATATTCTGTGTGTATGTATTTATTTATATATTATGTTTGTTAATTATATATGCATTTTATTTTAATGACTACATTTTAGTATAGCTTCCAATTAAAATGTTCAAATAACGGACAAACACAATTATACTAATAAGTTACAACAATTAATGCAATATTGTTATAATGTAGTTTATTGATATGATTGTTCTATTAATTTACGACGTAAGTTATATCATGTTTACAGACACTGCAAACACTATTATAATGGGTTTCTCTATTCCTTGAATTTTAGAATACATTATATTTCTGTACATAACCAAATTCGGTAATATAGAAATATTAAAAATAAATATTTATAAACTCGTCGGCGAAATTAAGATATTTTAACTTTTGGAGAATAAAAAAAAAATGTTGCAAAATTATCCTGAAAGTATATTTTTATCTCGCGTATTACAGCATAACAGCATAGTCATAATACAATAGAACGGGAGAGGAAAAAAGATAATACCTATCACGTAAGATTTATGAACTATCGCAGCAAAGTGTACGGTAAACCTCCTATAGTGAGCGACAAACAATAAGTCGGCCGACCCCAGCCATATCAGATAAATATTATAATATTATCAACTCTATACGATACGGACTACGATGTCGATGACAGATGACTGAGAGGTTTGGCGGTCAATAACTCTGTGAAAATATATGTATACGTCACACGAGCAGCTTCGTAGGTCCACTTGTTTTTTATTTTTTTTTAATGATAAGGCTTCGACGACAAAGGTTTTTAGCCCGCATTAACTTAATGTTGTATCCATAATAATATATTGTAACGCATCCCAAAACTAATTTCTCGTCTCGTGACATTCAAAATCAAATTAATAGAGTAGCTCGTAAACGGAGTTTAAACATTCCGTACGAATATTTAATGGTGATACCGTGAATACCGCATAAAACCGATTTTAACCGAACGTATCACATTCTCTAGATAACAATATTGCAGAATATTGAATGTGAATAACCGTGTAATTGACGCGAATTATTATTGTATCACCCTCGTCGTGGCCCGTCGTGGCAAAGTTTCAGAAAAATTACTTAAATAAACACACTATATATGTTACGCGATATACTTGACATTATTATAATGAGAAAATAATAATACACGATTTAAATTATAAAATTATAAATCATGTATATTGTGCAGGTATATAAGTATAATAATATGTAAGTACCACCGCCTGTGTTGTAATAATACTGAGGTCGTTAAAAACCCCATAGGTACCTATATAATGCAACAAACCGAATAACTTAAGTTTATTACTGTAAATATGCCGTATAAAAGTCATAAATCAAATGCATTTTCATATGTGTTTTTTTTCATGACATATTATTATTATTATTATTATTACATGCAATAAAAACATTTTATTTCTTCAAGAAGTAATTTAGTTTAAACAAAATATGCAAATAGTAATAAAATGTTTATTATTATTATTATTATTATAATTTATTTTTATTTTTCGTAACCGCATATTAAGTTTTATACCGACTTAATACTTAGTCCGTACCTAATGCAATTAAACTGACACACCGTAATAACATACCACAAAATAATGCACTGTCGTTAATATATAATATTAAAATATTTACAGTTTTTTTTTTTTTTGTTTTACCATAACATAGCAAATAATACAATATATAATAATGATAATGGACGTGTTTTCTCTGTTTGCAGATGGTTCGATCGAATCGCCGTCGCAGAGCGGCAACCTCAACTACTGGGAACAGCCGTTCTCGCAGCCCTACTTCGACAACGCCACTAGACGCGACGTGACCGCGACCGTGGGCCAGATGACGTACTTACACTGCAGGGTCCGAAATCTCGGCGACCGATCGGTAAGTCATCGCCCCCCCCCCCACCACCATCCACTCCGGTGAGGTCTGCGGCGACAGTCGTATCGTCGACAGACACGATGGTGTGTCGATGTAAGTCCGGCGCTCCATACGTGTCGTGCGTGTGTGTTGTGTGAGTGTGTGTGTGTGTGTGCGAGTGTAGCCCGCTGTGCTGTAAATATCGATTAAACATTAATCTACAGCCAGCGCACTTTCAGACTTCGGTCGAAAAGTTTCGGACACGTCGGCGGACAAATTGATCGCGACCGCCGACGTAATTGATCGAGTAAACGAGACGCTGCACGTCGGGAGTTATTACAGCAGTTATGCCTAAGGCGGGGAAGGAGTCGAAATTTGAAAAAAAAAAAGTAAAACCACCGATGCAGCTGCTGAAACACACGCCACCGCCGCCAGAGAGAACTAAAATATATTCGTATGATAAAAATGACAATCGTATGCGATACGAAGTCGTCGGGAATAATTAAGTTCGTCTGTTGTTTTTGGTTTTCAATCACGCTATGCTATAATATACATTTAGATGACAGTACATCGGGCACAGAAATGAGTGTAGATATAATATAATATAATATAGGTACGTTATACATAATGATAATAATAATAATAATAATAATATACGCACGAAATTGGTCCGCCGAATCTTTGAGGTGGGTCGTTCCGGCGACAGCGACGTATTTTTATTCGTATTTCGAAGACCCATAATCCGGGTATATATAGATACGTACACGGAGAAAGAGAGAGAGTGAGAGAGAAACGGCCCGGACGACTGAGAAGTAACAAAAAATGATATTCCGTTGTCTCGGTATAGCAAAAGTTACACCTGTCCAACTGTACGATATTGAAGTCGTATGTATACAGGAAGAGCCATCGCGTTTTTCAGGTTTTCCGGCGATGACCCTAAGAGCGCTGTGGACGCACCCTGTATAAATAATAATATATTATAGTGCACCACGGTTAGAGAATCGTCAAAGTCCGCAGCAATAACAACAATAATATAGGCATTGCGTCTTACTATTGTGTTCGGGTCGTTGAGATTTACGATACACGTGTCTTGTATTTGTTTACTTTCATTTTTACATCCCGAATACCACTGCAAAGTTATAATATCAATAAGCGTGTACATATGAGTTCGACGTTTAATTAATTATTTTTTTTTTATGAGATAAATAATACTGAATTAATATAAACCGTTATTTATGCTATTAATATTCGTGCATACAATATCGCCGGGTGGGAAATAGATAATAGTTTAAATTTCACCATTAATGTTTGTACGAAATAAGCTGATGAGACAAACAAGCTGGGCCATCGAAATCGATCATCTGAAAACAAATCAAAAATGTTTTATGAAATAGTGTTTCCTCATTGTTGATGTCGACAATGTTCTAATTATTCGGGTAACTTTTATCGTTCATACATTTTTATTAAATGCGCTTAGTCTACTCCATTGCTCGTGACCGAAATCATTTAGATTAAAAATTGAGTACGGGTATATCTTTATACTAAGCTTTTACGTGCCCGTCATCATGCAGTCGTTAAGATTAGATATTATAGTCGTGCTACAGCCAAACTGATTAACAGCCATAATTGGATTGATATAGTAATTGAAACAAAAATGTTTTAATATATGCTTCGTGCATTCTACAGTGAACTGTAATGACAATATTTTTCTATGGTTTTAAGTTCCAAGGATAAAGTAATCTTAATAAATGATTGGAAAAAATATTGCTTACATTTTTTTATGAAAAATACATTTTGCAATAATTTCAATATTCTAAAATTGTGTCCAAAATATTTGTTTTACCCTCCGGTCCAAAATGAACTCAATTGTTGTGGCAATGGTCGACGTTTTAATGTTATTCAGGGTGTTGGTGCTAAAAATTAACAACCATAAACCAGATAATAATAATGTCATGTTATGCAGCTATTCTCTGCGGTTGGGTGCAAATCCTTTTTCGATTCGTTGTATGACCTATCCGAAGGCAGTAATCGTAATAAAATAATATTTCGTTGTATTTTAATGGTTTTCATGTGCGATCGGAGTAAACTGCAAAACGCTTAAGCGATCTGGCGCCGCGTGTGAAGCGTGTACACTGTACAGTGTAAATGTATTTTTATTATAATAATATCACCTCGTACAAATCAAATTAAAACTTTCTAGTTTTTAAAGTTTGCGAAAATGTTTAAATAGTCACTTTTAAGTGGATAATCGTAAAAAGGATTTTATACAACGATATCCAATTTCCAACCAGTGAAATTATAAACTACCTACTTTATAATATACAACCGTTTCAAGTTTAATGGCGAACGGAACGGCCTTTTTTGAAAATAAACTTGCATACGATGTAAAATAATTATTGCATTGCTTTGGCCTTTCACCCTAATTCTATGCGCACAGAAAGGTTGCTTTTTTTGCGAATTGCCTGTTAAAAAATATTTTACGATGCTTAAAAATTCGAAGGGAATTATTATATGAAATATATAGATATTAGGTACGCGCCCAGCAGGAATTTCATTTCCCACGATTAAAACCATATAGTCATTTATTTCAGACTAGCACGCATCGTGTGACTATCGTATTATTATCGTCATAACATTAATATTATTACTCATAACATAATAAAGCTATGTTGTACTTCGGGAGTCAGTTGTTCTAACTTTCTGGAGGTTTATCGTAGACTAAAAGTGTAAATTCTTACACTAAAATCGAGTGTATATAGTTGGCAGTCAATCTAAATTAATATATATACAACAGGTTGACATCTGGTTTGGATGCATTGCAAACTGAACATAAGTTCTCAAGTCTAAACCCGAAAATATTAAACAATTTTTTTACGAGCAATTTGAGACGCGTGGAATGACTTAAAAGCATCCATGGCCGTGTTCTACATGTATTACGTTCTGAGTGGAGCGATGTATGTATTGATCTTAAGCGTGGCTTTTCTCTATTTCTTAACATGATAAATAGCAGGCAAAATGCATCTTCAATTTTGAGTGATTCCTGATGAGCAAATTGGATGCAATTAGTAATTTTCAGAGGTACATAACCACCATAAGTATTTAAAAATTCTTTACATTTTTAATATTCTTACCTATGATTTTAAAATGAAGCCCGAAGTTCCTCATGAGTAGTTGTTATGTCTGGATTAATAAAATAAATTGAACCTTAATTCCGCGAATATTTCTTATGAGCATCCGAGATTAAAGTGTTAATAGAATAATATTCTATTCAAGCGTTAATTAACAATTTATATTTTCTAATCAAATTACATCCTTATTTTATTGTACTGCAAAGCGAATAACCCTATGGATACTTGAAATTTTTACAATAGGTGTAATATACATATAGGTCATATTCATATTTTATATACATATGGTTTAATTTTCAAAATACTTCGACTCGTTTCATTGTTTTAAGTTCTTTTGGGATTTCATCGGTAAAAAACTTTAAAAATTTAATATGAGGTTCTTCATAAGTTGATTGTATATCTATTCAAACATTTTAAATTTCTATAATTATGAATTTTTTTAATAGACATTTTTAGTTTAAATTTGGGAAAAATTAAAACTTTTTTTAAAATTAAACAATACATACTTATTTTGTACAATAAGCTTAAAGTATATGCATGAAGAAAGTTTAACAGAAATGTTCGATAGGTTAAGTATGGATAAATTAAAGTTTAAACACCTATTTCAACGATTTTAGTTATTTTGTTATAATTTAAAAATATTTTTGGCAAAGATTTGTTACTTTATGTATATTATTAATATATTTTATATACATAATGACATTTTCGAAACATTTAGGTTAGTTTTATGCTATTGCTATTTAATACAAGGCTCATAACTCATAAGTTTTTAATATACCAATCAAAAAATATACGCAGTTACAATATTTTTTTATAAACTCTTTAAGATCCCCAAAATTTGCAAATTATTTTATAGTATAAGATTCATAAATTATTTATATTCATACCTTAAGTTTGAAAGTTTAATACAATGTTCCATACAAGTTTTTCTTACTACAATTATAAAAAAAGACGAGTGTAATTAAGTGTAAAAATGCTTTGCATGAAAGTCAGCCGAAGTTTAAGTTTCGACGAACTTGTATGTTCACGCATAAAATTACGATTTATCAACAAACGATTTTAGTTTTTATAATGTAATCCACAAAGTCTTAGTCGTCAAAACTTCAAAAAATGTTTCATCATTAAAGTTGGTTCCTTGTAGATGACAATTTATCTAATTGGCGCTTTTTAAATAAAATAATTCCAAGTACATTTCTAAATCGTCGTAATAATATACCATTATACCGCCACTATAACGTATTGTTGTTCAAAATCAATTGATCTTATATTCTCAGTGTGATTAATCGTTGAATCCAATGAGTGAATTCAATAAAATCAGACACAATATTTGTTAGCGATGTTTGTTTGAACTGAGACACATTGCATACAATTTTCCCCATCGTCGTAATGTCTTCGACCACGGATTAGTATAATATTAAAACTACCTAGGACATAATGTATATAAAACTATACAGCGCGCGGTGGAAGATAAGAATGGAGGTAACTGTTTGGGTGAAAAGTATACATATAATATGGTTAAGCTTAAGCCATTCAGGTGTTCCTTGGGAGAAGGGAGATACGTTTCACGCATTGATAGTTCTAGGAATTTAAGAGGCAGATTTGATGTTACTGGACCTGGGCATAATGTTTCTTGGAGGTTTTCCGCTGTTTCGAGGTTGGCTTGAAGTCTCTATAGTTAAGGTAGTAACCGTAGTATTTGGCAGTGAGTATGTATCCATATGTATGGCATTAATCTGGTTCCTCTTAAAGATTCATGAGATGTCTGTGGGTAGTAGATTTATTTAGAATAACTTCCTGTCGTCTGTTTGGAGTGACGATTGGTCACGGGGGGATGGTGGTTTTTGTTTCATTCACCTTGGTGAGCTTATTGGCCATATATGTTTAGCCATTGATTAA